ACCATTAAATCAAACGTTTGTGTCATTCTTGGACCTGCTTTTATGTCGTAATGGACACTATTAATTAAAAGTGCAATACTGATATGTTTGTACAACAATAATTCAACTGTTCAAATTAGTACTTCTAGAAACGAAATATGTCCATGAAATCATTTTTTTTGAAGAAAACTATCACATGCTTTGCTAACTGGCCTATAAGTGACAGCAGTATGTTCACAGTTGAATTAGGAAATGGAAAGGGGTATAATATAATATCTTCTTGCTCCTGTTGACTATGCGCTGCCTGATCTCCTGAATCATTTAGTTCTGAAGAGTTACTACTAGATCCAACAATGCGCTCTACCCTGTCACTGTCAGACTCTGAATTTGAGTCAGAGCTGGCTGAATGTTTTTCTGACTATCCTGCACAATATAAGTCAAAATCGTACTGCCAATATGTGCCTGTACCACCCGCACTTTCTCATCTTTCTTTTCTTTTATGTGAAATATTGTGCTGATTAATATAAAGTTCAAGTTCATCTACTCTAAGGAATGACAACTGCTTTCTGTGATAAAGATCTTCCCAGTCAATGTCATTGTATTCCTGCTGCTTTCTTTCTGCACGCTTCTTGTCATTATCTGTTGGTCGCTTATTTTTTCTCAGTTCAATGTCGGTTAGATGATCGATATAATCTGCAACAAGTTTTTCTGAAGCAATGGATTTTCCAGAAAACTCTTCGATTGCTTTTTATCCCCTTCTTTGAGCTTACCCTCTTGAAACATCTGTTTTATTTGAGCTCGGGGCTGATAACTATCAGGTTTGCTGCCGCTTGTAGGTCTTTTCGTACTAGGTAGGCATTGAAGGTCGGGAGGTTTGCTGTAATCGGAATAGAGTCGTGGAGTTGGTGTAGCTGGAGAAGGACTTACAAAGTCTCAAAGTTTATACTTCCATATTCAGCTTCAGCTATAAAACGTAAATATCCTACACTGCTTGTTGTCATTTTCTTGTTTCAGCTCGCACACATTCAATATCGAGATATATTTATGTTCAAACATTTTGTGTTTGCGAGCGAAATGTTCTGAGGTTTCTACGGCGTGGAACATACCATGTAGTATTAAGGGGTGGTTTCCACTTTTGTCAGTCACCTAAAGGTGGGGGGTCGGGAGTTTTTTTTTATGGAAAAAAATACCAAAATTTCCCACCCCCAAGAAAAGACATACCTTTTCTAAATATCACCTATATGGGGGACATTTCTTCATATATCCTCTGAAATTCGCTAGTCGGTAAATGTGGCTTACTAACTTAGTTCGTTTAAAAAAACGATCTGTTTTGCTAACAACTGCCGGTGCCATTTAATTGTCTTCGAAACATCTACCATATCATCGAAGCTGTTTTTCTGTTTCTATGGCAGTGTTTGATCATATCATAGGTGGCACAGAGAAAGTAGAAATAGAGCTATTGTTACAGCTACTTCTCTATGTAAACGAGTCATAGGAACGAATAAAAACTGATGAGTCGAATATGGGTTGAGGGTAAAATCCAAAACAGAATTGACCCTAGTTAAATAGCGAAAAACCTTCATGTCTTTTTCCTACAATCACTTTAAAATCATAAACCAAAGCACTCCTCAAAGCAATTTTAAAGTTTTGATAAAATAATGAAAGATTTGAAATATTTTTGAACAAAGGTATATCCAAATAGTTTTAGGAGTAATAGATCTCAGATGATGTCAAAATGTGGTAAGAACAAAAAAGTGGCACACATTGCCTGTGTTTGTGGCTGCAACTTACAGTGCAGGAACTTCCAGTTCAAAAAAAGCAAAACAACTTGTTAAGGATGTATGAGTTTTTGAGCCTCTGCTGCAACTGATGGTAATGTCAACAGTGGAGATTTTTTCATAGATTTAAAATCTCTTCACCAGTAAATTAAACTCGTTAGTATATGTGAGTTTTCAACCACCAAATCACACCATTTACTAATCTTAAGACAGTCGGTGCACAACTGATGAATCAAAATGGTACGAATGTCAAAACCCAATAGAGTCAATGTATATGCTAGGTGTTTTTCCATTCACACGCATCGCTGAGACATCAATATCCTACTCTTCTCGACGTATTTAGTCTTACTTTTGGAGCCAGCAACTTTTTTCTGGAGCCAGCATGATCCGCTTGCACTTTACAACCCAACCAAAATAGTAAGTAACCCTCCGTTACTTCAAGCGGAAAGTCTTCCCTGTTGAGTGTACGTAAAAGAAATAAATACACCTAACTCAATGGTTTAGTTGTAATATGCGCGGACATTTTGCGAGTCACGCAGTATTTTATAGTAAATATATATATAGTATATATATAAATAATAAGTAACCCTCCGTTACTACAAGCGGAAAGTCTTCCCTGTCGAGTGTAAATAGAAGAAATAAATACACCTGACTCAATGGTTTAGTTGGAATATGCACGGACATTTTGCGAGTTACCGAGTATTTTTCTGTGCCCCTTCGGGGCTCGGAAAAATGCAAGCAGTGAGTAAAATGTCCGTCGTATTATAAGTTAAATCATCGAATAATGGTTTTATCATTTCACTATTATTTCATTTTCTAGTCTTTTGGATGGTTTTCGAACCTTCCTTCGGTCTTATCTAAGCATCGCACCGATCTCATAGGGCGGGCCAGATAGAGAAAAACAACACAAATGAAATCATTTTATTGATTGCGGGCTTCGAAGTTCGTTGCTGAAAAGATCATGTCTAAAGGTGGGAAAAATCAAAGATCGCGCAGTGCCTATTTTTATCGCTGTTGTTACTTATAAACTGTAACATACACCAGAGACCGTGTTTTTCAAATGTCCTAATTAAGGAGAATTAGTTATATAAAAACCGATGGCAGCAGAGCTGATCGATTGATATTGGTAATCAATGTCAATCGACATTGAGGACAATTGATAATCACGAAAACTTGTGCGATCAATTGCCAATCGATTATTTGCCATCGATTCTTAAGGCCCTGGAGCCAAAGAACATGAATCAATTAAACACAAGATCTTGTTGTCTGTAAGCTTTTTAAAGAGTACACGGAAGAAAGATAGACTCTGGTCTCGAGTGATTCCAAGAGAATCGAAGTGAAGCTTGAGTCGTGACAAATGCCTTTTTTTAACTATGCTTGTCCAAATGTCGGTCACTACTATCGACAATAGTCCCTCTTTAGAAACTAGTCATGCTTCAAATAAAATCTTGATCCTCACGCAAGTATCCCGCCGAATACTCAATACAGATTCGTAAGTGTGTTTGCTCTTTGTTATAGTACCGAGACAAAACATTCCTCTTGAAAATTTCTACACGAAACTCAGGGGCGATCTTCATTAGGAATGGCTTCTGTCAGGTGAGTTGAATTTATTGTGAAACCATCTTTGATAATGATTTCCTGCTTGTCTACAAAATTACAGTATTGTTATATCTCTGAAGCAGGCTGACTGCTGGCAGTATTACCTTTCAGAATACCTTGCTAAGAGTTATGTGAGGGAGTTTTTTCATTAGGAGCACTGATGAATACACGGACGCACGTAGTTCTTGATCCATACGAAGCTTTATCAGATAGCATATATAATTTGAACTCGTGGTCGAAGGTGAAGAATTGGAAGACCAGGCGTCAACGCAGCAAACAGAAGAGTTTAATAACTGAACTTTACATTAACAAAAAAGTCAGAAATGCGCTCTTCCCCTAGTAATGTTCGCGTTGATTACTCAATTATACTCGTTACACACTAAAGGGCGTATTTTAGGGTGCGTTCCTTTGGGAGGATCCGGATTTGGATTTGTGATCCAAGATCACATAGATCTCGGTACATTAAAGGAATGGATTTTTAGAGTGCGCTCCTTTGGGAGTATGCACGTGGGTTATTGAGCACTTCCCTAAATGGTTCGTCTAACTGCACAGGCTTTTAGCGCGCACTATTCATTAGAAGCACATTTTTTCATGTTAAACTCAAATGATGGAATTAAGGGCCTGTTTACATGGATGTGGGGGACCCCAGGTAGGTGAGGTAACCCACCTAGCCGTGGTCGAAAAATAAAACGCGTTTACGTGCAATCTTACAACCCCGAGGTGCTGGGGCGAGGTTTCTTGAGGCTGTTGTTGCGCTTGCAATTAAGGAGTTTGAGCAGAGGCGTCCCAAGTTCACATCTCGAAAAAGACTAAAGATTAATTCTCGGACACATATGTATTTATTCAAGAACGCGTCATGCGTTGTGTTACGCGGCGTTTGGTTTCGCGAGGAACCGTTGACTTAATACGTTGTACGGAATAGTTTCCTAAATACAAAATATTCCGAAATGTGAACATTTTACACTCCCTGTGTGTCCGTTGCGGTTTGTGGTGATTTCTGCCATAAGACGGCTAGGAAATGTACAAAGTTTTAAAACATACACGATCAAAATAAAATAAGAAATTATATGGACAGGCGGGTTATCCCACGTAGGCGGGTTACCTCACCTACCTGGGTCCTCTACCTCCATTTAAACAGGCCCTAAAACAGAAGCAAGTATTAATTTCGATATGGATACTTGGGAACCCTGAATGCCTGCGATCAGTGGCCGATCGATTTAAAATTACAAAATCGATTTTACTTAGTGTTTATCGCAGAATTTGTGGAGCGATTGCCAACAATCTTTCCGGTCAATATATGAAGTACCTACTTGTTTGAAATTGAGCACCGCTGAGCGAGATGATTAATTTCGCATCCTTCGCCCAAAGGAACGCGTTGGATGATCCGTCTTTAGATCACGCAGATCAGTGATCCGATGAATCCTTGTCCAGAGTGGATTTGATAGATCACTGTTCTGAAAATGGATTTGCTCGAAAGGAAAACCACAGATCAGAAATCCTGATCCGGATTCTCCCAAAGGAACGCACCCTAAATGTTTCTGAATCCTCTCAGGATTAGTCCTAGTCCTCGTATAAATAAATTATTCATTGGGGAAAATCAATATGTATTACATGAAAAATAACGCTGAAAATTGTCTTCTCAAAAGATACAGCGACTGCTGCTCCCGTTCCTTTGCGGTCAAAGGGAACCACATGCCATGGATTTTTATTGGACTGGTCATTTACACCATATGCATTACACCAACTGATACGATTGATATTAATAGCCAGAGCTTCTCAAACATGGACAAGGTAAATAAAAAGATATGCTGTGCTTGTATAAGGGAGGGGAGCTCTTTAACGATAAGGAGGGGGGGAGCTCCTTAATGACAAGGGAGAGGATAATGAAAATTTCACCCGCAGGACGTAGCCAATGTGAGCGTGACTCAGGCTACCTTGCTGAACCCATAGATACTGCATTAAAGAAAATTGGTGAATTATGGTTGCCAGGAAATTAACTGTTTCTTCCTGAGTTAAAAAAAAGATATTTCAAGGCAGCATTCTCATCTTCCTCACATGGGAACCCCCCCTCCCCCCTCCTCTCCTTAAAATATATTTTGAGTCATCAACACTCGTGAAAGGGAGAACTGTTGGATTAGTCTTCTACGCAGCCTTTTTTGGTTGTAATGCGACGCTCCCCCCTAAAGAGTGTCTGCAAGAGAGGCTACTGGTAGATTAAGTGTTGTCAAACCAAAATTAAAGTTATTCAAACAGGCAATTAGATCGACGAAAAAAATAATCAAACTCAGTCCTTCTTTAAGGTGAACACCTTTAAGTAGTCGGGTGCTAAAAATGTCTGTCTGACTTCACGCTTTTGGCCAGGTGTATCATTTTGCAAGTCAAACACACGTAACAGGTAAAATTTGATGGACACGTCCCAAATATTATGTTTTCCACACACCTACGAGGAGGAGAGCTATAGAAAATGCCCTTGTATTTAATATTTTCTTGCTTTTTGTCCATCACTCGGAGCGACTGTGAACTACTTAAAATCTTGACTTCCTGTTTCGTAGAAAGAAAAAACAAGAGTGATTGACGACATCCTCGAAGCAACATTTAATCCCTCTGACGATGAGAAACTGCAGTATAGTGAAGATTGGAATAAGTTTCAACAGAAAATGGGAGAGATGAATTCTAATGCGAAAAAAACCGTTAAGAGACTCCGATCAATAGCTGACAGACTTGATGAAGCGTGGTGGGAGTACAAGATGAGTTATGCCACTGGAACCTCTCTGTGTGTGGTAGGAGGAGTTCTAACATTGACGACTGAAAGTATATATGCTAAGGGTTTTGGAATTGCTGGATTCTTAATAAACTATATCGCCAGTTCCATAGACTATACCAAACACTCAGAGGATAACAAGGTGGCCGAAAAGCTCTTGAAGGAGACCAGAGACAACTTCATCGCCGTGAGGAAAGAAATCCATCTTTGGATAGCCAGAAAAGAGTATTTCCGGATAACGTACATTTACGGCCAGGCTATAGCCCATAAGGTGGCTACACCTCAGGTTTTAATGTTTCTTCGTGAGTGCATTTTTGACTCCAAGGAAATCCCCCCCATGGTGAAAAATATGGCAATTCTTATCGAAAAATGGGTATGGAATTCTGGTGCGAAAGCCCCATTTCAAGGCGTTGCGGAAGGAGCAGCAAAGAATGGAGCACAAGTTGCTGATGATGCAGTCCAGGCCAGCTCAAAAACCATAATAGAGAATTTGGCGAAGAATGGAGCACAAGTTTCTGATGATGCAGTCCTGGTCAGTGCAGAAACCTCAGCACAGGAAGTGGTAAAGAAAGGAACACAATTTGCTGATGATGTAGTCCAAGCCGGCGCAAAAACCTCCACACAGGAAACAGCAAAGTATGGAGCACAATTTGCTGATGATGCAATCCAAGCCTCCACACAGAAAATGGCAAATGGAAAATGGCAATCTCTTTATGATGCAATCCAAAACAACGCAAAAGCCTCCACACAGGAAATGTTCGAGAATGCAGCACAATTAGCTGATGATGTAATCCAAGCCTCCAAACAGAAAATGGCAAATGGAAAATGGAAATCTCTTTATGATGCAATCCAAAACAACGCAAAAGCCTCCACACAGGAAATGTTCGAGAATGCAGCACAATTAGCTGATGATGTAATCCAAGCCTCCAAACAGAAAATGGCAAATGGAAAATGGCAATCTCTTTATGATGCAATCCAAAACAACGCAAAAGCCTCCACACAGGAAATGTTCGAGAATGCAGCACAATTAGCTGATGATGTAATCCAAGCCTCCAAACAGAAAATGGCAAATGGAAAATGGCAATCTCTTTATGATGCAATCCAAAACAACGCAAAAGCCTCCACACAGGAAATGTTCGAGAATGCAGCACAATTAGCTGATGATGTAATCCAAGCCTCCAAACAGAAAATGGCAAATGGAAAATGGCAATCTCTTTATGATGCAATCCAAAACAACGCAAAAGCCTCCACACAGAATATGGTAAAGAATGGAGCACAATTAGCTGATGATGCAATCCAAGCCGGGGCAAAAGCCTCAACACAGGAAGTGGCAAAGAATGGAGCAAAATTTGCTGATGATGCAATTCAAGCCGGGGCAAAAGCCTCAACACAGGGAGTGGCAAAGAACGGAGTACAAGTTGCTGATGACGTGGCTGAAGCAGGTTTAAAAACAGCTGGAAATTTCCAGAAACTAATTGCTGTTATGGACACCGGCCTTTTATTGATGGATTCCAAAGAGCTGGTCTTCACGATTAAGGATCTTGTTCGAAACAAAGGATCTGATGCAGCGAAAGATCTGAGGGAAAAGGCCGAGGAGATCGAGGATGCTTTTATACAGTAATTAGAACTTGAATCATTGGAACAGTTCAAACTCACTCGAAAAGTTAAATGAAACAGTTCTTAACAATTTTGAAATGCACTAATTTTTTTTCCACTTTATAGATTACATAGAACGAACGTTTTTCTTGCATGTGTAAAACCTTGAAGTAGGTTCAGCATGTTTGAATTGTTGTGTCGGACCGATCTGCATGAACTTAGAGGGAACCTCCAGTCTTAAAGCAAATATTGTTTAAAACACTCTAGATGTATCAAACACAAGATATTTGGTACTTAAAATTGTTCTTCTTACCTTGCTAATATTTTTTCGACCTTCAGAATCGAGCGCAAAAACCTCTTTCCGGAGTGCGAACTTCCCGCCTTCTTATTAGGTGCGCGAGGCTTTTTGGTTTCGTTATTTCGTATTTGGGGTTTTTCCCTGAAAAATGCCTCATTGCGTAGCTTTCGAGTGCATTAATCAGGCCAAAACCTAGCGGGATCCCAAGCTTCTGTAGGGCTGATAAAGGTTACACTAGGACATGTAGGAATGTGATGCCCACCCCCCTCAGGAACAAATCTGTAAAGAATAGAAATCGTGGGAAAATAAACAGATGAGGTTCGTGTTGTCCTCCATTTTGATGTGTGTCTTCCCTTCCTCGGCGTGCAACAATTCCCAAAAGACAACAGTTAACGACGTACATGGATTCATGCTATTGGCAGAACATCTCTCCCGATGAGTAACGTCTCTTCTTCTAAGTAACGGTTCCATTTATTTCATTTCCATTATTTTTTTAATTATGTATAATGTTTGGATCCAGTTTGGTTCCTAGGGTCAGTGTAAGGACTTTCCGCTTGTGACCGTTCCAAAAAAGGACAAGCGACGCCGCCAGAATAAACATGATTGAGGTGCCGGAGTCGCTTGTGACCGTTCCAAAAAAGGACAAGCGACGCCGCCAGAATAAACATGATGGAAGTGCCGGATCCAGTTCACTAATAATTTGTTGTCAGAGGCGAAAACGTAAAAACTTCTCAAATGTACGACACCCGTGTGGAAGTATTTACCTCGCTTAGAAAAATTAGCAATATTAAGAAAAATAATGATGCTGGAGGCTTTTTCGCTTCGAGACAACGATGTAGCTTTGTAAATATTCAGGAAACTTACGCAAAATAATTGCGACGAAATTTTGCGTGTTCGAGTTTAGGACATTTCGATTAGCGTTTATTGTATGGTAATGGCCTATTTCAATTTATTGTATTTATGTTTTTACGAACTTTCCAGAGATCAATAAACCAGTTGAGATTGAAAGACACTTGGAGGTTCTGTTAATATAAGACATTTCCCCGACGCGGCGTTGTTCAAGTTTGATTTGATTTATGTCAGCGTCCGCACCATTACAACAGTTTTCACGACTAAAGTGAAACCACTAGGTGCAACCGGGATTCTATACTTTGTGAATCAATCAAAGGATTTGTTTGTGAGACGCTCTTGTCTCTACAGATCTATAAGTTGACTGCACTTTGTATCGAAGGAGCGGGCTCTCCTTCAGCAACTTGCGAGTTCGTTTAAAGAAGTTGAGTTGAGCATAGCCTGATCTATCACGAGGTTTGCAATACGTTTCTTCATTGTAAGGTTAAGTTTGTTTGATTTTGAAATGGCTGAAGCAGTGATTGATAGAGCACAGTGAAACCTCCGACGTTTGCGGTCAGTACGCGAAAAGTAAGTGGTCAAACATTATTTCAGTTTGCGAAGCTACGTCATATTCAGGGCTATTCTACCGCATACATTTTTTTAAATTGGGTACAGTTTTTCACCTTTAAAACATTTCTTGCGGTCTGTTCATCATTAAGAGCTACTTCCTTTTAGAGGGCCATCAGTTTGTTTCCGTTAGTTATGTAAGACAGTAGTCGGGAGGTTCGGGAAATGGTTTTGTAACTCTTGATCTTCGTAGACTGATGGCCTCAATATAGAAATACTTCATGGGAGACTTCCACTTATTCGCCTCAACACCGAAACACATCATGTTTTTTGGATTTATCTGTGAAATGCAACCAAGAAGCTCACACCAGTTATGATTTCGTGTTAATTGTACTTTAAGAGCGAACTAATGTTACTCAAAAAATTTAACACAATTTTCTATTGTCTCTAACCTTCTTGATCATAGAAATGACGTCTACATTGTTTAAAACGAAAGAGAAAGTACGAGGCGCAACCGAGTGGTTTTACTGCCGAGTTATTTTCAGAGTTTCTTTTCTCTTTTTTGCCTTGACAGACAAATACTTTCTCGTGCTTTCTAATCACGAGTGTTTGGATCTCTTCTTTAACGGGTATCAAGGGGTATCCACACTCGAAATCATCAGTTTTCTCGTGTTTGGAAACCCTGATGAAACACTCGCCCTCGTTTATGAAATATTACATGCTAGACTTTTTCTGTTGACGGAGTTAAAAGCGTGAACCAAATGCGAATTTTACGATAGTTTGGTGATTTTCCGCCCAAATTTCTGTGGGGGTGATCCAACTAAAATCGGTTAGAAAACATTACGTTTTCAAGGGATTTTTCCCTGAAAGACACCTGATCTAATGTTTTACGAAAAGAAAAGTTCCTGTTTCCCCTAAAAGAAAATTATAAAAATATAAACCAATCAGCAAAGCAGGAATGTCATGAACACCAAGTGCTTACACTGTGATTCTGAGGGCTGATTTGCAAAACTTCCGCAGAAAAACAGGTTTGTCAGAGTAGCATTGTACTTTTTCCCAGAGGAGAATTTTCATCCCTTACTTTTAAAAACAAGTGGTTGTGAGATGTGGCAATGACAATTGCAGCATTGGGACTTTGGACATCCAGGTGCAAGAGGTCTGAAGACCCGTGACTGGCCTTTTGCATGACAGGAAGTTAATGTTTACAAAAGAAATATATCCTCTTTCCAGTAAAAGAGAATTATAAAACGTGAACTAATCAGTGAAGCTTGTCTGTGTCAAAAGATAAATCTTATTGGCTCGAGCGTGGAAACTTTAATGAAACTTACTTGAATGCACTGGAGTGATCAATCAATGTAGCGATATCTCTTCGAGCGGCTGATCGGTCTCATCAACCTCATGAAACACCAGGTTTTCATAAACGTTGTTTTATCATTCTAACGTTAAATTTTTGAGCTGTTGCCAGCTTTTATCGACCACAAATGAAGTAACAAAAGCGATGGTAAACTGGAAAGTTGAAAGAGTGTTTCGTTGTTAAGTGATAGCCTCTATTGCGATCCGTTTGAGTGAAGGACCTTGAATCAGTAAATTCGAAATCGGCGGAGGAAATAACATTGCTCACTTCATTTTGTATCCACTATGCTTTTCCCGTAAAATGGAATATTGGTTTAATCATCATAAGAATCAAAATCTGTTTGGCGATTGAATTTTGTTCTGCCTCCTGGTATGAACCAAGCACTTATCCTTCGATATCACTGAGCTGTAACGATGATTTTTCCTCCTGTTTTTCGAGGAACGGAAGGTGTAAATGACATCTAGAATTTTAGAAGCACACAATCACTGATTATTCAACCTAACTTAAAAACTGAGTGCAATATGTTCCTCAATTAGTCTTTTACTCTGATGCATATTCCAGGTGATTCTTATACTTCAATTTGATTAAGCATACGTTCATAGGAATAATTGAATTGTACCAGTGCTTATTCCTTCAGTGACATTTTCTCTTAAAAAAATGCTAATTGATAACCAGGACATATACAATTAAGAAATTCTCAAACAGTGTTTGAGAGTCTTAGTAAAGAAATGACCCATAAATGAATGATATAAAGGAAATCATATTCTATTGTGATATAAAGTAACTTCTTGGATATACACAAAAAGGTCCAATTTTAGGGGTAAATCCCTTTGAAAAAGCAGCTGGAATAAGTCAATGAGAAAGCAAAAACAGTTTTGTAAAAAATATGTGCACGAGGGACTTTTCCCCGAAATATATCTGATAGGTCATTTACAGAATTGCTGTGATCTTGAAAAGGTTAGGGTGTGATAAAAAAAAAAACTCACATTTGTTTACAGAGAAAGCTCTTGTTCTTACGAATTGTGATATATCTGAACCAATTGAATGGTTCATTAGCGAAATCCTGTCGGCCTGAGAAATATATCAAACATACGTTTTCAGAAAAGAGTGAATATAGATAACAAGCAGGACTAATTTTCTTCGTATAACTTCCAACATTCGTCATCAGAGTGCAAAGGCAGTTGTTAAACAACTTTTCAGGCGGTAAATGTAAGTTATCTTCGACTTGCCACATCAAGTCTTCTAAAACAGTGCGTGGCCTTTTAGGCTTTGAGCCAGCTTTGTCCTGCGATCTGTTTGTGATTAACTGAACTGCTTCCTGCTAGAAAATCCCGTTCTTTTTTTTGTTTCTTTATGTAACATCGTAAGTAATCAACTAAGATGGATATGGTTGCTCTAAAGATTTAAGTTGAACAACTAAGCAGACGAACTCGTGAGTGCCATGAAGCAGTAAATATCAGCAAAAGGGAAGAGTTCGAAATGATTTTCAATTATAAACGTAATATTGATCTGCGCTAGCGAGAACATTTTTCATCATGCAGTTAGTTGCATTTGGCCATTTTATGAGGACATTACCTCTTAGGACTGCATTAACGGCATTTATAATAAAGTTTGGATATAACGCGCGCTTTCGTTGGCTAAAAAAGAGCGTGCTCTATAAGAGTATAGAGCATAGAGCTGAGTTAAAGCTGTAAGTTTTTCTTTTAGATTCTGTTTGTTTCAATGAAAATGTATGCTGGGGCTTATTCGAAAAATAAACGAACAAAATAAAGAAAAACAGCAGCCGCCATTATCCATCGTAGCCCACGACTTGACAAGGCAAGTCGTGGAAGCTATATGCAGCGGCCTATATTGTCATTTCCCTTTGTGGAGTCCAATTACTTTATCAAGGCCATTTACCTTTTCTTAGCTAACACAATCGTTGTGAACGACAGGATCAAACAGTTTAAATCAACTTTGTTGTCAAAGTTTTGTT